ACACACACATATATATATACATATATATATACATATATATATATATATATATATACATACATACACATATATATATATATGTATATATATATATATATATATATATGCATATATAAACACATACATATTTAACCATATATGATGATAATCTGTAATGATAATCTGGATGATAATCTATCTATAGAAAAACTCTTTTACAAAAAAGAAGAAAAATCTAATTCGCCTAATAAAATCTAAGAAAAATCTTTTTTTTAGTATTATAATAAAAGTTACTTCTGAAATGTGTTGAAATAAAATCTTCTTTCCGTTAAACAGAAATTGGGGAAAATATACAGAGGGGCTAATAATTCAGACTTCAACAGTATAGTTTAATAAATGTGTTATTTTATCATCTTGCTATTTCTACAAGAATTCCTGAATGATAAAAAAATGAATAAGTATACTCACAATCAGCATGGTGACCAGACAGTTTTTCTTTGTGACTTGGGCATGAGAGAATATGTAGTTGAGCACATTGGCCATGTCTACTTTGTTTTCCTCTCGTAGTGCAAATACACACTTGTCATAGTGACCTGGCGATAACATAAACAAACAGATAAATTGTAAATTGATTCATTTAAACAAGTTAATAGAATAAGAACAATTAATACAATGGAATGCATAGAAAAAAAAAGCTAATTTATTTAATATTTTATTTAAAAACCCGAAGTTACTTTAAAAATAACAATCATCCTGAATATAATGCATAAGGTATTAACTGACCAATAAGATTAATTTACCGATGTGTTTAACAGTGGGGTTAGAGAAAGGCAGATAAAATACAGACAAAGTGAAACCTGATCTAGTTTTATACACCTTTCTATTAAAGTAAGTATTTTGATTTAGCTTTTTGATTTGAATATTTTTTTTTGCAATCATGGTCAGCTTCGATTACAATTTAGTAGTTCAATTTATCCACATTAGTTGCTAATTCAAAATTTGTAATGCTTGTCTATTTTTATACATCTGACATTTATATCAGAGTTTATTTTATGTCTTTAGTTAAAAAAATTCAAATGTTCGAATTTCAAGTAGTAAATACCTGCTTGTCATTACTGCCTGCCGCACCTCCTCCAGTGCACCTTTGGGTCAGCTGCAGGGTCGTCAGTTGGTACCACCGCTTTATTTCAAATCAACTCAAACTACTTTTATAGTTTAATCTAATATTTACAATTTATTTAAGCATCATTTTAAATCATTGAAATGAATTTCACACTTTTAAGTATAATTTCTGATTGTTTCAGTTTAATTTAAATAATATTAGATTAAAATTAGCAACACTAGGAATTATCAGAACAAATAAAACATTTATTGAAATAAAATATTTTGAGACTTTTTTTAAAAAATCTAGTAGGGGTTGCAATTATATAGCATGTGTTTTCTAGCTTTTGCCATTTTAAACTTTTGTGCTCATATTTTTACATGAAATGTCTAATATTTGTTCTATATTTATATATTTATAATGTTCTATATTTGAACATTTAACTAAATATTTACATTTACTCCAGGTTGGATCTATGATATTTCACCATTTGACCACAGGATGGCAGTGTAATAAGGCAACATCCTAAATTCCCAGCAATATCTTAATGTTTATGACTATAAAAGACAAAGTGCTTGCTGCATACCATGCTGAAACTGAACCTCCACTCTCAAATACTGCCTGAGGAGATCCATCACCACTGCTTTCATATGTCCTCTGATGCCACTGCGGTACCTGAATGCACAATCATCAAGGCCAGTTAATTTAGTGTGTTTATTTGTCATTATTTGCACATACAAAAAGAAGAGAAACCACTTGAAATTTTTAGGTTTGCCTGGATACACTATATTTATTAGGTATGTTTGCATAAAGGTCTCTTAAATAAGTTTCAATTAAAAAAATATTGTCTATAGGAGATTTATTTCCAGATCAATGACAGAATGATATATAATAAACAGTGCATCCGGAAAGTATTCATAGCGCTTTACTTTTTCTACTTTTTTTATGTTACAGCCTTCCAAAAATGATTGCAATTTTTTTTCCCTCAAAAAACACGATACCCCATAATGACAATGTGATAAAATATTTTTTGAAATTGTTGTGAATTTTATAAAAAAAAAAGAAAAAGAAAAATCAAATGTACATAAGTATTCACAGCCTTTGCTCAATATTTAATTGATGCACCTTTGGCAGTAATTACAGCCTCAAGTATTTTTAAACATGATGCCACAAACTTGGCACACCTGTCTTTGAGACATTTTGCCCATTCCTCTGTGCAGTACCTCTCAAGCTCTATCAGGTTGGATGGAAAGCGATGGTGTACAGCCATTTATAGATCTCTCCAGAGATGTTCAATAGGATTTAGGTCTGGACTCAGGCTGGGCCACTCAGGGAAATTCATTGAGTTGTTGTAAAGCCACTTAATTGATATTTTGGAGCTGTGCTTTGGGTCACTGTCCTGCTGAAAGAAGAACCTTGTGGTGCCAGGTTTTCTTTAAACGTAACGCCTGGCATTCACTCCAAAGAGATCAATTTTAGTCTCATCAGACCAGAGAATTCTGTTTCTTATGGTCTGAGAGTACTTCAGATGCCTTTTGGCAAATTCCAGGTGGGAAGTGGCTTCTATCTGGCCACTCTACCATACAGGCCTGATTGGTGGATTGTTGCACATTTGGTTGTCCTTCTGTAAGGTTCTCCTCCCTCCACAGAAGAAAGCTAGAGTTCAGACAGAGTGACCACCGGGTTATTGAACACCTTTCTGACTAAGGCCCTTTTTCCCTGATCACTCAGCTTAGATGGCCGGCCAGCTCTAGGAAGAGTCATGGTGCTTCCAAACATCTTCCATTTATGGATGATGGAGGCCACTGTGCTCATTGGAACTTTCAGAGCAGCAGAAAATTTTTGTAACCTTCCCCAGCCCTCCCCAATCCTGTCTCGAGGGTCTACAGATGATTCCTTTGTCTTCATGCTTGGTTTGTGCTTTGACATGCACTGTCAACCCTGGGACCTTATATAAACAGGTGTGTGCCATTAAAATCATGTCCAATCAACTGAATTGACCACAGGTGAACTCCAATGAAGCTGCTGAAGCATCTCAAGAATGATCAGTGGAGACAGAATGTACCGGAGATCCATTTAGAGCAGGGGTCACCAATCTCAGTCCTTGAGGGCCGGTGTCCCTGAAGGGTTTATCTCCAACTTGCCTCAACACACCTGCCTGTGTGTTTCTAGTTTTCCTAGTAAGTCCTTGATTATCTAGTTTAGGTGTGTTTGATTAGGGTTGGAGCTAAAAATCTGCAGGACACCGACCCTCCGGGAGCAAGTTTGGTGATCCTTGATTTAGAGCTTCACAGCAAAGGCTCTGAAAACTGATGTACATGCGATTTTTCAGGTTCTTTATTTTTAATAAATTTGTAACAATTTCAAAAAACTGTTTTTCACATTGTCATTATTGGGTATTGTATGTAGAATTTTGAAAAAAAATAAATAAATTGAATCAATTTTGGAATAAGGCTGTAACAAAAAATTGTGGAAAAAGTGAAGCTTTCCAGATACACTGTATGGTCAAAATATTATATTTATTATTATTATTATTATTATTATTTGTAGTGATTGATATGAAATCAGTGTTATTACAACTGATATCAACTTCTTAACACTTCTGAAGTTTGTTTAAATATAAATATATGAAATGTATGATATATTATTACTTTTTAAATGCTCTAAATTGACAATATTTTTATGTAAAATGTGAAAAAATGTCATAAAGATTATAGTAAAACAAGAAAAAAAGTATATGTATATATACACACACACTCAAACATGACTAAAAATAAAAATATTCAGTATTTTGTTTCATAGCTGTGCATATGTAGGTTGTTTAAATGAATAAATAAATGAATGAATGAATGAACTAACTTCTGAACCAGCTGCACGATGCTCTGTGTGTTCATGAAGAAGACCTCTCTCTCTGACTTCCTGTTCAGCGTGGCAGCATGACTGTCCAGTATATTGGCAATCTGATATGGGAATACAACAGCATTTACAAGCAACAGCCACAGACTGAAAACTTTAGATAATCAGGAACTCTCTTTAAGCTGACCTGCTGGCTGGGAAACTGGCAGAGGACAGAGGTGATGTTGCTGGCATACTGAGCCATTTCTTTTTTGATGGCCTTCTCCACCGCAGGAGGGATTCGGCCTGAAACACTGGTCATGATGTCCTGAAGCTCCAGCAGGGGTAGGGAGGGGTCCCTCAGAGTCTTCATAAGACGCTCCACCCATTCTTTCAGCTAAAACACAGATAAAATCTTAATACTTATTCATACCAAATCTGGCATGACCAGGGAACCGGTCAAAAGTGAATGACAAAGCAGATCTTCTATCATCTTGAATATTACAGATATAAGTCTTTACTGTCATTGTAGGGATTTTGTATTTTGTTTTGCCCCTTTGTCTTTTCTGTTCTACACTGCTGCTAGGTTAAATTATACAAAAATAAATAAATAAATAAATAAATAAATAAATAAATAAAATGAATATTTTTTTAATTATGTAAAAAATATATAAATAAATAAACAAATATAAATAAACAAATAAAAATAAAATAAATAAACAAAATAAATAATTATATTTTTTAATTATAAAATAAAAATACAAAAAATAAAAAATAAAAATAAAATAAATAAAATTACTCAAATAAATAAACGAAAATACAAATAAATACAAATAAATCACAGTCTTCCCTCACTATATTGTGGTTCATCTTTCGCTGCCTTGCAGTTTTGCAGTTTTTTTTTTTTTTTGCAATTTAACATGCTTTTTTTTTGTTTTTTACATAACCAAATTTACATAAACCTTTGATCACTAGCTCTGTGACTCTGAAACGTTCTGTACAGACAAAGGCACATGCGCTAGCACCCAAAAGGCAGAGAAAGATGTTAACCATCAGACAAAAAGTTGGACTTCTAGACATGCTAAAGAAAGGTAGAAGATACGCAGGTGTAGGGCACCATTACGGAATAAATGAACATTTGGTTTGTTACATAAAGAAGGAAGAAAATAACATAAGTGTTTAAACAACAGAGAAAAGTGTGAAAATGTTAATGCCTGTCTGGGAAAAGTGTAGAAAGTGTTTAGTGAGGGCTTTTACAGCCTTAAAACATCTATAATAATTGTAAAAAATAAAGCTAACTACTTCGTAGATTTTGCCAATTAAGGGTTATTTTTAGAGCTCCTGCGATTAAAGAGGGACCATTAATAAATAAAATAAATAAAAAAAAATTAACAAACTAATACAAATAAATAAAAAATAAAATAAATAAATGAACAAATAAAAACAAATGAATAAAATAAAAAAACAGACAGAGAGACAGATAGAGATTATCAATTTACATTTTTTCCACCTGCCCTACCTTGGCACTGAAGAAAGGCTCTGGCAGACAGTAGCCGTTCATAATGTGCACTAAGTGACCCAGAGTGCTGTGGAAGACTCTGTGAAGCTTCTCTCCCCTGAGAGCCACAGACTGAATGCTGGGTAAAGTTCCTGTATACAACTCCGCCTAAAACAAACAAAAAAACCCACACTCATTTCAAATGCAAAACCATACAAAAGGTCTATGATTTTTAAGGGGAAAATCAACTGCTCATAGATACACATGACACACTGAATGTACCTGCTGTACTCTGCTGGGGTCATCTAGCTGCAGTTTGCCAATGATGCAGCCAGGCTCCAGCACTGCACCTGCTCTCTTCACATAGTGAATACAGCCAGACTCTGAGGCCGTCAGAGTCATCACCATCTTCATCACCTAAAAGACGCATACATAAGGCAAACCAATAAAAAAAAATAAACGTTTTGTACATGCACAAGTATCTCTGAGTTGTCACTTGTCTGTCAACACACTTTTCATCACACTAAAAATTTATTATCATAAACAAAAACTAAAACTATTAAAAATATATTTTTGCTAACTGAAATAAAGAATAAACTACATAAAAAAGCATTTATACAGTTGTGAAAAACCTGTTTCTATTTAGGGAAATATCATCATATTGGGTTTTCTACATCTTGTCTATATATAGACATAAAACTAAATGATTTTCTTCATTTATAAAAAAAAATGTAAACTATGAATGTTTATATAGTTACCTGCACAAATTACAATTTTGAAAATAAATATCTTTATTTATAACTTTTAAGAACCAACATGAATACACGTTTGCTCATTCTGATTAACCTAAAACATCAGGCCTGCTCTAGCCAATGACAATAACTACAATGATAGAATAAAGATTTAAAATTTATTAACAAATTTAAAGAACAGCGAAGTTCACAAAACAAAAACAAGACCATTGTTGTTATCGCATTGTTGTTGACAACAACAATAATGACACAGAGAAACAATATCATTGGAATCACTTTCATTTTTTGCTAGCTGATAAACAACAAAAACAATCATTGTGTATTTAAGCAGCACTTACGATAAACTGTTTGTTGACATGGAATATTAATATAATTATAGCTAAATCAATTTTCACTTTTTACATTTTTTCTGACAATGTCTTAATGTCTTTGCCAAAATGTCTGTTACATCACTAATATAGCAAATGCTCACTTTGTCAATCTGAAAAGTGATTAAAGCTGTATTTCAAACCTCTATCTCTGCATAACATTGTCCAGCAAACACGTGTCCTCCATCCTCCACTGTATACTGAATGAGTTTCCCAGCAGAGGGAGAGCGAAGGACTGAAGGGTCGTTCTCCTTTTCAAACACACACGTCTTATTCCCGATAATGATGCGATACCTAGAGAACGAAAAAAAACACACTCAAATGATTTCGAACAAATACGTGTTTTAGCATTATTCCCTTATTGCAGTCTCTTAAATGAATTAGGATTAATATCATTTTAAATGTAATTATTTATAATATAGAAAACGTTTTATTATTTAAGGGTGTAAAAAATAACGTCAATTTATTCATGACCTCTACAATTGATGTTTCTTGTTTAATTTAGCAAACAGAGCATCAGAAATGAAAAACTGATTTATAATGGCTGAAAGCAGGGCCGTATTAAGAACACACTGGGCCCTGGGGCTATAGCAAATCCAAGGGCCCCCTTTTCATATATATATATACTTTTAATTTACTTATTAATATTATTATCTAATTTATACAATTTTATTTATATTTGATTATTATATGTTTTTTTCTATTTTTTCAAAAAGGGCCTGGAAGTATACAAAATTAAATAATGACATAATATATAAAGTTCAAACAGGCTGCAAAAATCAGCAAAAAAAAAAAAAAAAAAAAACATTTGCAATACTCCCTATATTTGTGCTTTATAATAAATACTTTAAATTGGGGTTTTCTTTTAAAAAGCTTTAGCTGACCACAAATCCCTAATGATATAATATCTCGAGAACTCGCCTGCTATTTTTGGCTAATGACAAAATAGGGATTGCTACAGAGAGATATACTGCTGATTAAGAGCTTATCTATGGTGCTAATTTGGTTGGGTCTATTCACTTATGTTGCAAGTTTTGGACTGTGGTATGAAACCAGAGAACCCAGGGGAAACCTGAGCAGGGAAAGAACGAGTAAACTCTGCACAGAAACATTAACTGGCCTGTTAAAGATTTGGACTAGTGACGTTCTTGCTGTGACACAACAGTGCTAACCACTGGGCCGTCATGCCACCCTATTGAGGAAAAGAAAGGAGGAGTAAGGGATTCTTCAAGCCACAGATGACTAAGGTATGGAACTCTGCCTATTTATAACGAGTTAGGAATCATCCGATTGGTGAATTATGCATTAGCTAATGTGGGACCAGCAGCGGTCAATCAAAAGCAAGTGATCCTCTCGAAATTAGTTTATAAATAAACTTCACTTTAATGGGGGCTTTTTCCAGTAATGGGTTGCAGCTGGTAGGGCATTCGCTGCATAAAAAAATCTGCTGGATTAGTTGGCAATTCGTTTCGCTGTGACAACCCCTGATTGATAAAAGGACTAAGCCGGAAAGAAAATGAATGAATGAATGAATGAATAAATAGGGGCAACAGTATCGGTATTACTTATACTAGTTTTTATCAATTGTATGTAGTAAAAAGATACACAGGTTACACAAAAAGATAAACAAACATATCAAATACAGACTTTGGGCCCTATCATACTCCCGGCGCAGTGTGGCGCAAGGCACGGCGCAATAGTCTTTTGGTAGTTTCAGCTTGACGCAAGAGTCGTTTTGAGGCGTTTAAATAGCAAATGCATTAGCGCTCATTTGTGCGCCCATAGGCGTTCTGGTCTAAAAAGGAAGGCGTTTTGAGGCGCACTGCTGGCGCGTTGCTATTTTGAGAAACTAAAATAGATTTTTCATAAGACCAAAACAAACCTGGTCTAAACTTCAGTGCAGAGTTGCGCCTCGCTTACGCACTGCTTAATATGCACAAGAGAGCAATAGGCAAATATCTTTACATATGAAAACATTTTAACATTAAGGATATATATAGGATATAATAAGAATATATATTGGATATAAATATAAAGGATTAAAATATTACAAAACATATTATTTTCTAGCCCACATAAATATGAAAAATCACTGCTTTTATGTATTCATCTCAGGAGGCTTTTTCAGTTTATTCATAACAATTTGCTTTTGTATAATGTTATTATTATTAGCAGTATTATTTATTATATCCATATTTATATTCGTTTTATTAAAAACAAGCTTAGATTTGCCCACCTGTCAGGTTTTAGACCATTTGGGGCACAGCATGTGTTTTAGGATATAACTTTTTTTTAGTGTTTTTGAACACACTTTGTTATTATTGTTCATTTATTTGTTTGCTGAAAATTAGAACTGAATTCAGAAATAGTTTTAAAATGAATATTTGCGCTTAACAAACAAAACTAATTATTTATAGACTAATTTATGTCTGTGCGTAAAGGTTTCCCTATCCAAGAGTGAATGTGAAAGTAGATCCATTATCTCTCATTCTCACGCAGTAGATGCTCTGTTTAACTGTTTGCTTGTGAAATGCTCACTTTTTCCACTTAGACTTACTTTGCGTCCTTTAAATAGCGAATGCGCTCTTGGCGCGACTCAGCTGGCTCTTAAAGGGAATGGGAGATGAGACTCTAATTGGTTTATTCTCAAAACACACCTATAACTCATTAAGAAAATAAACTCAACATTTCAGACCGTGCTCCATGTCGCAAAGCGGATTTTCCCGTCCTTAAATTAGCAAAAACGCGTTCTGATACGCCCTGAAAGCGTTTGCGCCCTGCATTTGCGCTCTGTGCATGGACCGTAAAAAATAGAGCCCTTCATGTTGTTTGGAAACTGCAGTAATCAGTGGGTACCAGTTCCCAAGATTCTTTGCTATGCATTCATAAAAGTCTAACTAATTTTAAACCAATCAATTTTTTCATCTCTATAAGATGAGAAAAAAGAAAAAGTGCTGACAAAAAAAAAATAGAACAATTGTTCTACACTGACTGCATTATTTACTGAAATGTTGTTTGCAATATAAAGTTTATGTATTTATTTATTTATTGTAATATCACCATTGTCTATATTTATGCCAACACTTCTCCTAAATAACTGTTGGTTAATAAAGTACAAATAAATACAAACAACAACAACACTGATAAAAAGTCATATAATATATATATATATATATATTTTGAGAAAATTCCCTTAAAAGGTTTTATAAATAAAAAATATTGTCTAATATAATTTAAAAAATACCCATTCTATTAAAACATGCTTATTGTCAAAATATTCTTACATTATTCACAAAAAGGTTTTTCTCCACATTTTGTTTGCACAATGATGTGAATTATACAATATGCTTACAATTTCACGTGACAATATTTTTAAAGTGCAAACTAGCATTTTCCTTTGGCTTAGTCCCTTATTTATCAGGGGCTGCCACAGCAGAATTGACCGCCAACTATTCCAGCATACTGTATGTTTTACGCAGTAGATGCCCTTCCAGCCACAACCCAGTACTGGGAAACACCCATACACACTCATGCACTACAGCCAATTTAGTTTATTCAATTCATCTATACTACAGGTCTTTGGACTGTCGGGAAAACCGGAGGACCCACAGGAAATCCACACGAACACAGGGAGAACATGCAAACTCCACACAGAAATGCCAACTGACCCAGCAGGTACTCGAATCAGCGCCCTTCTTGCTGCAAGGCTACAGTGCTAACCACTGAGCCACCATGTCACCCAAACTAGCATTTAAATGTAGTTTGAAAAACTACATTGCAAAAAAAAAAAAAAACTGAGCACAATGAACACTCATAAGATCAGCTTTCATGACAATATGTCCCTGTATCCTCTATTCCGTAATTCCACCCAGACTCCTACCTGTCCACCTCCTCCTTCATGTAGGTGGTGTAGCTGCTGCCATCATACGAGAGCAACATACCACCGTCACTCAAGCGATGAACATCCACCTCTACCGAAGAGCAATTCATGATGACCACATAAGAGTTAGGAGACTGCCTGGTCACCTTCAGCACATACTTGGTGCCTTCGTAGATAAGCTCCACATCCACCGTGTTCAGCAGCGTGTGTGCTGGTAAAACCTGCCCTCTACAGACATACAGAACACAGAAAAAGGGTGAGAATCTCCTTAGAATACAAACAATGCACCAAGTGCACACTCAAACATATGCTGATTAGAGCTAGGTGGGTGATACTGAATTATCTTCGATCCATTTTTATTTTGATAAACTAACATTGATTGCTATATTTAATAAAATGTTCTATTAGTCCTCCATGTTTTTTTATAGTTCAGTACGAATTTAAAAAAATAAATTTTAATATGCAGATTTGAAAATTTTTATTATTATTATTATTATTATTATTAATTAAGTGTTAATTCATTTTGCTTTGGATTATTTGATGAATAGAAAAATCCAAAAGATTAATTAAAGCTGATAAAATTAATTTAAGAAGCTTTTGAAACATTGAACGATTCAGCATCCTTTCCCCTTTATTAATGAAGACAATATAAAAAAATTATACTTTTCTCTGGCAAGGATGCTTTAAACTGATCAAAGTTGATTATACTGACATTTATAACATCACAAAATAATTTTATTTAAGATAAATGTGTTTTTTCAAAAGAAATATTCATTCATCAAAGAAAACAAACAAATAATAATAATAAAAAATATTTTTGAGCAGAAAATCTGAATATTACAGTGTACTCTGAAAGATTGTGTTACTGGAGTATTAATTCTAAAAATTCAGCTTTGAAAGCACAGGAAAG